CCACGTATATAGATGCAGCACTTTGTATTCAAAGGTAAAATCAGCAAGGCAGTGTGTTTTTTTTTTACATTTAAACTCTGTTGTTTCTAATAGACTGAGGGGAAAAAACCACAAATACACGGTATTAGCTTGGTGTCCAGTCTATTGTTCAACCACCAACACAACACACAAACTTTAGTGTTTAAACCTGTGAGTGATAAACGTTTAAAGCATGAAGCTACCGACCTGAGAGCCGACGGACTGCGACGGACGGACTCGGACCTTTGGACCAGAACTTCTTTCAGCCATTGTCACACAGGCGGGCGACGCGGCTCCGGTCGCATAGCAACTACCTGTTCAGTGCGCACACAGTACGGTAGCCCCTGACGGACATGTAAAGGCGAACATTTTTAACAGGAGTCCAACAAATCTATGTATTCATGTATGTAATCTATTATATTAATCTAATACTAATTCTATTAATCTACTATGTAATCTAGTATATCAGCAAATTGTATGTGAGTATCAAAAGTAAAATCAGTCATTATGCATGCCACAGTGGTCTCTATCAGTGTTATATTATCACACATTATATTATAGTTTAAATTGGATTATTAGTCCTGATGCCTGATGATAACGTGTGTGCAACACATTTAATGCTTAAGGTGGAGCTCATCTTTTGTGTCTCACATTTTAGTTAATTATATGTTTTGTATGTAAAATATGTGTCTGTAGTATGTAGTAGTAATAGTTGTAACTAGTAAAATAAGTATATATAGCTGTCTGGGTCAAGCTCCAAAAACACTGGTTTATAACAGTATCAAACAGCATCTTTCATCAGCTCTTCCCTCCCTGATTAAACACCCACTTCTTTCAGACTTCTTTCTGTTCCATGTTGTAAGTCTCGAGCTAGCAGAGATAACCTGATGATCATGGTTATTTTTTAGACTAAACAAGAAATTAATTGCTAAAAACGAAAATGTGATTACATTACACATTACATACATCCCTCTAGTTTGCTTATGAGACAAGAAGAGGAGTTGCAGATGCAGTTGCAACCATTTTAAATGTTATTTTGAGACATCTGGAAGGGAACAAAGAACATGCAAGACTGTATTTCATTGATTTCTCTTTAGCTTTTAATAGCATACAACCCCTGCAGTCAGCTGGTGGGAACAGTGTTTCCTTTTATTGACACAGTGCAGATATTTGAGAACCATCCTGGATGATAAACTTACCTTTGATGCCAACACTGATTAATCCCTGTATTTGTAAATGTTGTAAGGCATTTCTGTGGAGAAAATGAGTAGGGTTGTTGTTTTTTGGCTCAACTTTACTCACTTTACTATGTGCCTGGAAAAGGGAAAAGGTGCCTGACCACCCAGCTTCCACCAGTTTGGTGTCAAATTTAACACATTCATTTAGATTAATGAATAAAAAACATTCATTCAATTTAGATTAATTTAATTGTCTGTTATTGACACATTTTAGACTAAATGATTCTTAAGTTCATTAAAAAAAATACTGTATTTGTAAGAAGCTTTTAGAAATAAAACAATGTATTGATTTATAAAACCACCTTGAGATATTTCCATTCAGTGCTTTATTAACGTGCCACACTAATGTAATGTGTTTGAGTTCATCTTTAAATTCACACTCACTGTATCGTCTTCTGCTTGTTTTTAATAGTGGGGCTCTCAGTGCGCATGCGTGAGCCCAGCAGCCACTACTCACCCTGCTGCACATGCACAGAAATCCCATAACGTGAGGGGCACAGCTCACCGGAGGGACTGGCTAGTTGTTTGTCCGCTTACTGTTTACACCTGTCTTTATTTGTATTCATGCATCACCTCCGCGTTTGACAGCGACGCGCAGTTTTTGCTGCACAGCCTCTTTCTGCTCACCAAGTGTCGGGGACTTGGAGCGAGCGATGTCGGAGGAGGGCTGGGTGGCGACAACAACAACAGGGCGCGCTGCTGTCCCGTTAGCATCGCAACGTCCTCCGGTCCATGTTGCTTAACTGTGCCGGCGAGTACACCCGTCCACGCCTCCCGTCCCGTCCAGTCCCGCAGAGTCCCGTCCCGAGACCCGCCGCGATGGCCGAGGAGGACCCCCAGCAGCAGGCGGACCGCGGGGCGAGGAGCCTGCCCGGCCTGCTCCCCGGGCTGCAAGGCGCTGAGGCCAGCGCTCTGCAGCTCAGGATCAAGAACTCCATCTGGTGAGGAGGTGTTCAGTAGTAGTGTCTTCTTGTGCAAAGGTTTGATGCTTCTGGCTTCTGGGGGGTGGGGGGATATATGACTGAGCTTTGTCACTGTGTTGGTCTTACAGTCAGTATCCAGAGGCGGAATTAGTGTAAAAGTAGCAGTATCACAATATAAGAATACTTCATTACAAGTCAAAGTCAAGTCCTGCATGCACAGTGTTACTTATGTGAAAGTATTGTGAGCAAAATGTAGTCATATATTGATATTCTGTCATTGCATTACTGATGCATTCATATGTAAGTATCATTCAGATATAGTTGAAGTGGAGTAAATGTCACCTGTATCTTGTTGAGAGAGGTTAATCTGTAACAATGGATCATATTTTTTTTAGATGATCATATGTTTTATATGTGAAATATTAATCTGCAAAGTAACTGACTTACTTAGAAGTAAAATACAGTAGTAAATATTACTGAATCAAATTCCACCACTGTTCTTACGTAAGCAACACATTGTGAAATAAAAATACTCCATTACCAGTCCTGCATACAAAATGTCACCTAGTTTTAAAGTTGAGTCCAAAGAAATCAACACTTCATTCGATGATGTCTTCAGACTCTGTAAACTTCCTATTTGAGGGAGTTTAGTGTGAATAACTGCAGTACAGTCTGTCTATCTGTCGTTCAGACGTATATCAACCTATTTAAAAGTGAACTGCAGTATTATGGAAACATGTTGAAGCTTCCTGTTAATGCTGACTGAACTACGCAGATCATCTTTTTTAGGCTCAGGCGTTGACTTGGACAGTGGTGGGAATGTAACTAAGTGAATTAACTCATTTACAGCACGGTGTTGACTCTTTACTCCGCTGCATTTATTTAACAGCAGTAGTTATTCTGCAGATACGATATTTACCTACAAAACATATGATCAGCTTATAAATGATGATGATGTGTTGTTACATATTGTACTACCTAATTATTGACTGAGCCATTCTGTTTTTATAGATTTGTGTAGTTTTACTCAAGGAACATTTTGAATGTAGGACTTCTACTTACTACTAATACTTCAGTAAAGGCAAACACACCCTCCTCCTCATCATCATCATCTCTTGCCTGTTTACTGATTGGTGTTTTGTCGCACTGTTACATTCTTACTCAGTCCCCCCTCCCATTTTAAAAACAAACACGAACGACAGGCCGAAACCTACAGCTATAGTATGTAGTTCCTGTTGCAATGGGGAAATTGACTTTACATTACTTAGTTTCACATTATGTAGCAAACAGAAAATATTGATTGCTGTACTTAAACTGGAAATATGGCCTAAAAATAAAATCTTGCTTACAAAAGACACCATATGTTTGGCAATGTGAAACACTGTAAAATGTGAAATGTCTAAACACTGGGGACCATTGTTCTCATATGATATACTACAAAAACACATTCTGTGTAGATGAGTGATTTTAGTTGATTGGGACTTATTTAAAAGAGTCCTTAGCATTATAACATTTGTAGTTTAAATCTCAATTTTACAATTTAAACATTTTTAATCGTTTTAAAGGTTCACTGTGTAACATTTAGAAATATAATATTGATAGCTATGTTTTTTTATTAGTTTATAATCACCTTAATATAGGATTCATTGTGTTTTTGTTATCTTCCAATGAGCCATTTTTATCTACAGAGGAAGTGGGTCCTCTTCTGTAGAGTCCACCATGTTGAACCGCCATGTTTCTACAGTAGCCCAGAACGGACAAACCAAACACAGGCTGTAGATTTTGACTTTATATCGTGTTTATCGGGAGTTTCACAGCCACCATAGTTGGCCTCCTTCACACATCCCGTTCTCATTCCCAGGCCAACAAATACAGACGGAACTTAATACTGAACTCAGACATCTTTGCCTGGTTTTAGGCTACAAATAACTATTTCCAAAAAATAAACCAGACAGAATCACATGACTATAAGTGACTGTGAAGTATAAAATTACCAGTTTGAAAGAAAGAGGACATGCACCGGTAACATTTCACATACATTAAAAACACTGAATCAAAACCTCATGTAAGAGTGAAATGAAGTAAAACTAAATCAATTCAATGAGTGTGTTAGCAGTAAGCCATTAATAATAGCAGTTGATAGTGTGTTTTGTCTGTGGTTGCTGTTATTTAAGGCCGTGTTCTGACAGAAAATACCCTTTTATTTTTAATTATGAATGAAGTCAAGAACTATCTTTTAAATGTCAAACAGCCATAAAAGGTTGAACTACCAGAAAGCTCAACAGTTCAGAGCTGAAACGTAAATCTGCGGAAGCATATTGGGATATTGAATATTTGTCCTGCTCCTTAAATCTTTAACCTTTAAGAGGATTAGAGCATAAATATTGACGTTCACCTCAGCGACCTGCTTGCTCTGTGGGTCATGGTAGAATGAGACCGTCTTGGTCAGGGTCAGCAAGTTGATTTGCACCGTCACTGTGTCTTCAAGTGCAGTGACAAGTACAAGTACTGTGGAGGGAGCCGTTCCTGCTTCATTCACGCCGCCCAATCAGAGGCTGAATTACACCTGGGCATATCATACATAATGTGATTTGAAGGATTGCTTGCATCAGTTCTTTATGCCTTTTTGTAATCTGGGTCTGTCATTCAGTGTACCTGCCAAATCTGACTTACAAACAGCTTAATGATGGCCTTTCAGCACTGGGAAATCCCGGGCCCCCTAGTAACAGTGAATTAAAGTGAACTGTTCTTGTCGTGGCTTAGAGCGTCCCCTCATTCTGACATGCCCAGTGTTGCAGAGTCTTTAAATGAGACTTAACCTGCTGTGTCGCGGTAAACAACAATCTGACCTGCAGATTAGGAATTAGACCTGGAGATGTTATTCGTGTATCTGGTTTGAGCAATGTTTCATGGTTTAAATCAGTATAGAGCTTTAAGATGAGTGGCTGCTTATGCAAGTGCTCTTGCATAAGATCTTGTAGTTAATTTAGTCTTTTTTTTTTTTTT